GAATACCTGAGATATCCAGTGAAATCGATGTATGAAGCGGGGTGTAAATTCAAGTCTTTTAGGCCTACTATCCATGCTTATAGTCGATTCCAATTTTTCCAAAGGAACTGATCCGTATAAGCTGGCTGGTGGTAGTGAAAGTGAACTTCTGAAAGTGAAGCCTTCACATAAATTCCTTTTAGAATAGTTTTTTTAGGGGAAAAATCCTTCGTAATCGTAAAAAAATTTTTTCAAAGAATCTCGACAATTTATGAGCACAAATACTTGGCAGATAGCAGATGAAAAAAAGAATTTTTTGGAAAAAGCTTCAAACTTACTTCTGAACACCATTATGTTCAATAACGTTTCCTCCAGTGTTAGAGCTTTCCTTACCATTCGAAATGCGTATGATTGGAATCAACCCCGCGGCTATTGTTGTCTCTCTAAATTCCTAGGTTTGGGTGTACCCCTTTGTAAAGAGTATTTACCTCGATAATACCAGCCGTTGCCGCATATACTTAACCATGGCCAGTTTAATAAGTGAGCAAAAAACTATGCAAAAACAGACACCTAAAACAATTTTTGAAGAAAAAATTTGTATTTTGACGGAACGCAAAATAAATTGCCAAGCTGCGTTTACAACTTACCAAGATAAACATCCATTGCTTTGATATAGCTAACCCGTGGCATTACCTCATTATATGAAAAGAGTAAAAATGTAATGGTTAATATGATGGAAATCATATCCTGAAATAGTATCGATTGGAATGCGTTATTTTCACGTTATTTCAAAAAAAAAAATAACCTGGAAGGACGTCTCGTTTTCCATCCAAAGTGATACCCATGACGTGATGACAACAGCAGTTGACGGAATTATTAATTGTAAAAAACAAAAACCGGCTGACCGCGAGAAGAGAAAGCATACGTAAAGTCGAGAATAGTCACCTGGAACAGAAGATTAGGGCAACAAGAAAAATGGACATAATAGGGAGGAAGCAGATTGTTTGATGACTCGGGCTTCTTAATTAACTGATTGGGATGTTCTAATAAATTCACTGCTTAACGCAGCTCATATGATTCGCTCGCAGTGAGAAAAATTTTCCTGTACAACCCCGCCCCCAGGACGTATTTCGGGAGAACCCAAAAGCGTTCTTAATAGACTGGACGAAACGAAGTCGAACTTCTCGACTTAGAAGTGCATAAATACAAATTTGTTGAAG